GATCAGGCCTGAAGCCCCAAACAGTAGATTCCTGCACACAAAGAAAAGGCAGCTTTGGGGAAGGGCAGATAGCTGAGCTAAGTATTTTGTTTGGGACTCAGTCATGATCAGATGAGGTCACTCCATTTGGAGATGGTCTCGAGGACTCAGAAGAAGCCTTCCAGGTAATCTCCTGTTTCCTGGAGTGACCTCATCTGACCTCACATCCTCCTGCTATGCTGTAACCCATGAATTGCTGTGTGAAGCGGAGATTGAGTGACTGGCCTAAGCAGAGTCTGGTCCAACTTGGGCCAGACTAAGTGTAGGTTTGCACCCAGGCTTCCTGGTTCAGATTATACCTGATCTGATACCCTGACCTCATCTTCTTCTCTCACCGTATGTTCTTTCTCCCTTTCCATCCGATGAAGCCCTCCTCTACCTCCTTTTATGTTTGCCTAGGCTATAAAAGAACTTGGTGTGTGTGGGATGTGTGGGTGGGTGCAGATGGTCATTTATCCTTGCTGACATCTGTGCCAGGGAGCCACCATCCACCTGATGCCTCCATTCCTGGGGTGAGAGGAGAATCCTATTCCTCTGTTGCTCCGGCTTCTTAATGGATTGCCAGGGTGAAGCCGCAATCCAATTGTCTCCAAGGCTTTGAGCAGCCCCTGATGTGGCTGCCTGCTCACAGAGTTACCCTTGGAAATGACCCTCTGTATTCAGCCTGCATGAATGACGTTTAGGGATGACTTAGAATATCACTGCCTAAAATGGTTGACGCGATCTTTAAGCCAGGATCCAAAAAGCTCTTGCGCCATATGGAAATGGTTTTGTGCAGGATAACTTAGATTTTTGCTGGTGGGTCTCTGCTTGCTGAACGAGGCTTGATAGCTATCTCTTGGAGATACCCTTCATTCTGGGTTAGCTGCATCAAACTGAAGGTCATGGGTGTCTGCCAAGGGCAAGGAGGCAAGTCACATCAAAGACACCATCATAGAAGTGATGTGATTCTGTAATTCAGTACCTAATTCATGCCATTTGCATGATGACATCATGAGACATGAGACATCATTGTAGCTTGTACCAGGTGCTTACACTGAGGGTTGAACTAGGCAGCCTCCCACTATTATAATCGCTACCTATTTCTTTTCAGTTGCAGTCTTACCTCCTAAATGAAACCAACCCCCTTTCTAAGACACTCATTGATTTTGGAAGTATGTTCCCAGATACAGAGTGGATGCTCTTTGCGGAACCCCGTTCATCCGATCAATCTTCAGATCCTACCGTTGCCAAGAATTTTGTGAGATAGTGCTGTGTAGTGACATTTGTGCTGGGTTGCGATTAGAGATCTCTAGTCAGCTGTGAGTTTAGCACATTGCACCAAGCCATAATATAGTTTCCTTTGGACTTAACAGATGGTTTGAACTCAGCCCCTATGACTTATAGGGTGGAGCACGCTGTGTATCAGCTCCCTCACAGCAGAGCATAATCTGCATGCAAGAGCTACACAGACTTCAATAAGGGTCTTTAATGCAGGGATTAGGTGCAAAGTAGGAAATCTTGGAATCTGCAATAGGACTTCCATCCCTCATTTATTACTGAGTTTGTTCAATGGAATTTCTTCGAAGGCCATGAATCTTTTCCTCTCAGGCTTTTTGCAGCTGAGATTGTGCTCCCATTGATGAGATAAGCTACTAACGAACTCTGCAGTCTGTTGGTTGTTTAGCATTCCTCCTGCTACCTTCCCAGCCTCCCCACAGTTTCTCACATCATGCAAAGTCCAGCCAATTGTGGCTTGTTTAACAGACTATGGGAATAAGTAATAGTGTTCTGTTTATTCTTAACAATAATGTGCTACATGTGAGACATCTTTAGGCTTCAGCAAATGACCAAGCATCTGTGCAACCTTGTAAGAGCTTAGAAGCTAAGCAGGGTTGGGCTTGGTTAATAATTGGATGGGAGACCACCTTTTCTGGGGATTTCAAAATCTCAGGGAAATTAAAAAAAAAACAACCACCAAATTCCTGAAAAAAGACAATGGCACATCACATCCGTGTGGTTGCCAAGAAAAGTATGAGGATGCAGCCGTGAAGTCAGCTGGAATTCAGCTGGAGTCAAAGGAGACTTTATTAACACTGTCTTCAAGACCAACCAAAATATCTTTAGGTTCTCACACTGTGGGTCAGGACTTCTCTGTGGATCCTGGGTGAGTGAGATGATGTCATGTTTTCTTTTTAAAAATCTGATCAGCATTGCATTGGTAGAGCAGGAACCCTGACAAAATTTGCTCAGGGCTTGGCCCCTTGACTCAGTGGGCAGTTCTAGTGCAGCAAAGTTTGAGAACCCCTTCATATATAGCAAGATTCGGAGTGAGAAGTCCCACCCTTGGCCCCTACTTTGTGGGGTCCCGCAGCATTCAGTACTTTCTCTGCTCCTGTTTAACATCTACATTAAGCTGCTGAGGTCACCCATTGCCATGGGATGAGGTACCATCAGTATGCTGATGATACCGAGCTGTACATCTCTGCCCCTGGTGAATTTAGTGATGCTGTTTTGTGTCCTGTCTTGGTGTCTGGAGGCTTTGGGGATCTGGATGGGGAACAAGAGGTTTCAGCTCAAATCTAGCAAGATTTGGGTTTGGGAACCTTCAGGTTCTGGGAATAAACTATCTTTGGTGCTAGATGGGGTGGCACTGCCCCAAACAGATCCTATGTACAACGTGGGGTTCCTTCTGGACTCACATCTCCTGCTTAATGAGTGGGTGGCACTCATGGCTAGGAGGGCCTTTGTGCAACTTTGGGTTTTTTGTGCCACTTGTACCCATTCCTAGACTGGGAGGCTCTACTGTCAGTCTCGTATGTCCTGATCAACACCTGAATAGATTACTGTAATGCGCTCTACATGGGGCTGCCCTTGAAGAGCATCTGAAAGCTGCAACTTGTACAGCAGCACAGGCACTCCTAGATCAGCACACACAGCACCTCTGCTCCATAAGCTGCATTGGTTGCCGGTTTGCTTCTGGGTTCGATTCAGGGTGCTGATAATGACCTTTAAAGCCCTCTGTGGCATGGGGCTGGGTTATTTGAGGGACTGCCAGTTACATCTACGTGTCCCATTAGGCAAGCAGAAGAGGCATATTACAGACTCAGGAAGAAAGCCTTTTCTGCCATGGAACCCACCTTTGGAACATCATCCCCACCCCCCCGAGATTAGATTGGCCCCATCTCTCCCAACCTTCTGGAAATCCCTTAAAACTTGGCTTTGCCAGCAGGCCTGGGGATCCAGTGGAGGAATGGAACCTGCAAGTTGGTTGCGCTGTTTCTAATGTATGGATTGCACTTTCCTGTAGATTATGTTTCATGGTTTTAATTGGTTTTCCTTTTTTTTTGGTTTTATTTGTTTTGATTGTTTATTAGTATTTGTTTATTTTTTGTTATTTTAATTCTGGGAGCCACCTAGAGTCACATATGTGAGATACACAGCTATATAAATTGAATAAATAAATAGATTAAAATGTAATTATTAAAAGTGAGTGTAGATGTACTTCTTGTCCAACCCTAACCCCAATGAAATAATTAAGGGGGGGCAAGGTAATTCATGTAGGGGGTGACAGTCCTCCAAAGCTTGAGAATCTCTGGGCTGTGTGTGAACTGAAAAAGGTGAAAGGGTGGGGTGGCCGCTGGCATGAAGTTGAAATCAGAGTCTGCATTTAGGTGGGATTAAGGAAGGAGAGATACTTGTGGTATATCCTGTGGTACCTTCAAGACAAACACATATATTACCTGGTAAACTTCATGGCTTTATGCCTGAAGGGTTATTTTGAGTCATGGATTACTGAGAAGGGGGGTGAAGAAAGAATTGTAAATGGTAAATTAAAAAGGATACAGGCATTATTGGGCAACAGCTGTCTTATGACGGAATGGTCACTGTTAATAAGATGGTTATCACCGTTGCACTCTCATTTTTGTTTGATCTGCCTGTTTGCGCTGCTTTTTCCAGCTGTATGATTCAGCATATTTCCCTGTGCATCATTTGAGGACAGTACCTCCCAAATCCCTTTTTGTAGATCCAAAAGCCCCTTTCAGTGACATGGACAAATTTCCCACCATTCTGAAGCAGGAAACACCTGAAAAATATAGCGTAAATCTACATTAGCAAACCGTCTCTCAGGACTGCAATTAAATTGGGCTTTGTAAGGGGGCTGTAGTGCACTGATAAGGCAGTGGACTGGTTGATCGGGGTTCAGGTCAACCCTCGGCCATAGAAACTCACTGGGGAACTTTGGGCTAATCAGCCCCACCTGCCTCACAGGGTGGTTGTGGGGAGGGGGGACCATGGGAGGGAGAACACTATATGTTGCCTTGAGCTCCCGTATGAGGATTAAGATGAATAAGCAAGTGAATAAATAAATGCTATGTGTCACAGCAGACCCCCAGGAATCCCACTAGATTGGCAAGTTGAACAAAACCATGGCATATTGTTTCTGTTTATTGCCCAGAAGGCTACATGGATGTGTTCATGTAGTCACCAAAAGCTGAGATTGACTCAAATGAATCTTTCTTTCTTTTTTTACTGTTACTAGTCGCACATAGGAAAACCTCTATGATTGCTGGAATAAAGGAACATTTAATCCAGCTTTTAAGATGGCTGCTTGGAGTGAAGGGAGGGTTAGCTGATCTGAAGTGCCTCAGTGACTCCTTAAATTAATATTCAAGGATGATTTAGTTTCTTGGGCTTCCTCCAAAAAGCTCAGGAAATAATACCTGGACATAAACAGACACACCTTTTAACCTCATAGTCCTCCTGTAAAGTGTAGGTGGAAAGCGAAAGCCAGAGATTAGCTCTAGGTCTCCCAGTCATAAGCTCTGCAGCTGATCCAGATCTCTCAGCTGACATACAAGACCCAAACGCCTACACAGCTCTGGTGCTCAGGGTACAGGTGACTTTCAAAAGCTGTGTTCAGGTGTGCCATATCGCTTCGACCCCTTGAACGGATCTTTTGCTTTACCCTTCCCATCCAGGTTGCAAACTCATCTTCCCTCCTTGGGATGGTGGTATCCGCTACCGAGGCCTGACCCGTGAGCAGGTGAAGACCGCCCACTTCCTCCCCTTCGACTACGAGATTGAATATGTCTGCCGTCCAGAGAGGGAAATTGTGGGGCCCAAAGTACGAAAATGCCTCCCCAATGGCACCTGGACCGACAGTGATGTCGAAAGCCGCTGCTGTGAGTCCCACCTGGCGGTCTGAGAGAGGAGGCATTCCGTTGTGGTGTGTGTGTATGTGTGTGGGCGTGGGTGTGGGTGTGAAACATTCTGATAGATATGGAAATTGTCCTTGCTCCGGGTAAAAGCTCTGTGCCTCGGGGGACAATGGGACACAAAAACTGTTAGTTCTCAGTGTAGGCTCCAGAGTTTCTAGGTGAGCTACATCTGCCATGTTGGACAGATTTCTGATGACTCCATTTAGCTAATTTCCTGCACTCCAAATAATTTGTGCGACTAACTTCATCCTGCTAGCCAAAGTGTTTTTTTTTAATTTAAAAAAAAAACTTGTGGCTTTATTATTGCTTTTTCAGTTTCACCTTAGTTCATTGTGAGAGCATTCATGCGGTGAGAGCATAAATCCATGAGGGAATTCTTCACCATGGGGAGAATATGATGGGGAAAGCTTGACCTGTTGGATTTCTCCTGGTTTTGCAGGGACACTTACTGAAAGGGGTGGCTGGAGAGGTAACTGAAAGGAAGTCCTCAGCAGTTCTAACAAATCCTGAGTTTAGCACTTAGACCACAGGTCTGGCACTAGCAACCAACACTGAAATTTTCTCCAGATGGCAGGCAGCTATAAACAGTCATTTTAAATTTCTTAGGAAGCTCCAGAATACCCACTGAAGTGTAGGGAATTTACAGTGCCAACTTAAGTTGGCTTGTACAAGGTAACCCCCAGGTTAAGAACGCCTAGTTTGCAGATGATCCATAATTAAGAACAGAGACTATTGTAGCAAAATTTGAGTTAAATACCTAACAAGTTAAATACACAATGGTTCGAGTTCATTACACAATACTACTTATACAGTATATGATAATACTGTTCCAACTTACATACAAATTCGACTTAAGGACAGACCTTGGGAACGGAACTCGTTCTTAAACTGGGAACTACCTGTAGTTTGTGCCCGTTAAGTTTGGGCTCATCAAGATAGGTGACAGTGCACAGAGGAATTTTGCAGAAGATGCTTTCGACCTTGGAGTCAGCTTTGAAAGTATCAGTGATCAGTACTACAATCAAGCATAAGAGTTAAGGGGACAGATTCTACTGAACAGTCAAATTCCTGTTCCAAAGTTACATTAACTTTGTGTCCAGGCAATACAGACTCAGACAGGATGAAGGTGCTGGCTGGGGAATTCTGGGAACTGAAATCTACATATCTTCAAGCTGCCAAGGTTGAGAAACACTGATCTAGGTGGCTCAAGCCGCAGTGCCAAGCTAGGTACAGAAATATTGCGGGATGTTTCTGAAACGAACACTTCTTTTTCTACAGTACGCACTTGTCCCAAGATGCACCTGAACCTGGAGAATGGGCAAGTCAATGTCCGGGCAATTGAACGGGTGCCCGTTGAAGGCACCTGGCTGGAGTATCGCTGCAACCCTGGCTTTTACCTAGTGGGCAGTCCCCACAGCAATTGCACCAAGGTGGGCCGCTGGAGCTCCGCCAAACCTGTCTGCGAGTGTAAGTCACAAGGCAGGAGAGCAGAGCTGGGGGACCCCAGGCCCAGGGAAGGTTTATTGGGAGCAGAAGGTTCTCACTTAAAAAAAAAAATAGTACTGTTAACTTCAGAAATTCTGGGAGAAAAATAATATTTGGGATAGATGGATTTAGATCAGTGTTTTTCCAAACTCGCCATGTGTGGCCTTCAACTCATCTTTAACACATCTTAAAGATGCCAAGTTTGGAAAACACTGATTTAGGTTGAGTTTGTAGCAGCCATAGCTGATGCCTTTTTTTGTACACTCTAGCTCTCTTTGCATTCTTTCGTTGGAATATTGTTCTTGGAACTCCAGGTTAGCTTATGACTGTTAGTACTCCCCTAGTAAACTGAATGAGAGTACCCCAGCATCCCCACTAGTGGTGGCACTGATGGCAAAATCAGTCAGAATAAAATAAGGTCACAACAAACCCTAGAACTGCCCCCTTATTTATTTAAACAGTTTCCATACTGCCTTTCTCTGGGCATGAATTCAGAGTGACTTCTCTAAGAGCACATCAAGCGACAAATGAAAGAGATGCCATGCAAAATTACAGCTGAATCTATTAACATCAAAGAAAACATCAGCTGGGAAGGAAAAAAATCTCTAAAATAACACAGCCAAGAGAGCAATCAATTAAAAGCCTTCTGTAACAATTGGGTCTTTCCCAAAGGTCTAAAACTGTGTTTCTCAACCTCAACAACTTTAAGCTGTGTGGACTTCAACTCCCAGAATTCCCCAGCCAGCCATGCTGGCTGGGGAATTCTGGGATTTGAAGTCCACTCATTTTAAAGTTGCTGAGGTTGAGAAAGACTGGTCTAAAAGAAGGAAGCTAGAATGGGGAATCTTTTTTAAGCTTGTGGGCTGCATCCCGCTGCTGAGCAGGATACACACATACCCTTAACAAGTGGGTGGAATCAGGGAGCAGAATGGCCCCTCACCTCTCATCTATACATGCTTTCAAACTCATTGATTCCTATACATTCCTGTATAACATACATGCATATATGTACACACACTCCTCTGTATTTTCCTTTAACCACCCACTCTCAGACCCATGCATGCCAACTCATCTCATGCCATTGTTAACGTAACAAAAAGTCTTTTGATGGACTTCAGTGGAAGGCTTTTTCCAAGGCTGATCATACTGAGGATGATAAATGATGAAATAAAGTACATTTATCTGCTTCTCCCCATAAAATATATCAAAGTGCTTTACAATCAGGTTTAAAAAGAGTAATAAAACATTTATAACAGTTAATAAAAAACACATATATTAACATGGAAGAGAGAGTATATTAAAAAAAAATTGCCCCAGCTACTTATACAGGAAAGGCCAAGGTTAGTCGTCCCAAAGCTAGGCTCAAAACCAGATTGAAACAGATCCTTCCAGGAATGTCTGGTAGCCAACAGGACTACCAGATCTGGGCTGCAAAAATCCAGATAACCATGAGATGACAGCAAAGTTCCTTGTGCTTTTTTGCTGCCATTGGCCATACACATATTTGCAACCCAGATCCCTGGAATTGGGACTTACTTAACTGTTAAAATTTTACTGGATATGTCTATTTATGGAATCAATTTTGGGGATCCTAAATGTTTATAAGCAGCTTTATTGGTGGTATTGATAAAATAATGAGGTTTCTACCATCACCCCCCACTTGCAAATCATTTAATTTGGCATGTAAAAGAGTATATTCTTGTAATATACTGTACCAACGTACTCTTTTGGGAGGGATGAAAATACCTTCCCAGATCTTTCTTGGGTCTCATCACTTCCTCTTCCTGTTTCTTTGCACAGTGTGGCGTCCTCCTGTTTCCCGGTCTGGATCAGGTGAGTTGATTTCTATTTGCCTACCATCCTTTCCTTCACGTGTCCACAAAGCTTTCTCACCTTCACCCCTCTGTGTTCCTGAATCTTGGCCTTGTCTTGTGTATTTCTTGAAGGTCTTCCACTCTGGCAGCCTGTTCCAGCTGATGCTAGTAGGTGACAAGGCTTTGTTCTCTTTGAGATCCTGATCCCAGTAGTTAATCTCATTCTTTGACAACAGCACCATTAACGTGTCAGAGATAGGTGTGTCAGCATCACATCAGAGAACATACACTTTTGAATTCTTCTCTAATCCTGGGCCTACATCTCCGCGCTACTGACACTTAGCTTAGAGTTTTTGTGAGACCAGGTTAGAGTGGCAGGTTAGTACAGTGACAAGAGATACTCAGCAAGTATTGATGATAAGTAGGCAGGTCAGCATGGGCTTTGGAAGAAATTGGGAGTTGCAATGTTTGATGTTCTTGCCACTCTATGCAGTATTTTTTTTAAAAAAAACCTTCTCCATCAAATTAGTACATTTCCTCACACAATGTACTTCTATCTTGTACTTCAATTTGTTCACCCTCATTCATGCCAAAACTGAAACTCAAATTAGTCGTCAGAAAACAGGTTGAGTTGTA